GACATACCACACTAATACCAACCCTGGTACCTTCCCTTGCAACAAACCCCGTTGCCAGCTTTGTCCACATATTCATTCTGCTGATACCATTATTGGACCTAACCAAGTGAGTTATAAGATCAAGAACACATATTCCTGCGCATCCAGAAATATAATCTATGCTATCATGTGCCGAAAGTGTCCGTCTGCTATGTACATTGGACAAACATCTCAGACACTTCGCCAAAGGATTAATGCCCACAAAACAGATATCAGACAAGATCACAAAGAGAAAACAGTTTCTTGCCACTTTAACCAGAAAGGACACTCTCTAAATGACTTAGCCACCTGCATTCTGCTACAAAGACCTTTTACATCTGCACTTGAAAGGGAATCCTCTGAACTGTCATTCATGTTAAAATTCGACACTTACCACCAGGGACTTAACAAGTCTTTGAACTTTCTCACCCATTATCAAGACAGTTTCCCCAATTATCACCTGTAATACCATTAACTCACAAACATCCCACTCTCCCTACCTCTAATATCATCAATTCACAGACACTTACCTTCCTTCCTCCCCCTTCCCACCCCCCCGCCTCCTCCTTCTGTTCTGCAATGTGATTTGTCCTTTTCATATTTGTTCTTTTTTTTAATTGTATCCTTTGGTATATATGGTTGTGACTACTTTCTTCCACTATTTGATCTGAGGAAGTGGGTCTGGCCCACGAAAGCTCATCATCTAATAAACCATCTTGTTAGTCTTTAAAGTGCTACATTGTCCTGCATTTTGCTTCAACTACCCCAGACTAACACGGCTACATTTCTATCACTATTTTACATATAGTGCAACTCTTCCTCCTTTTCTCCCCTTCCTGTTCTTCCTGAACACTCTACACCCTTCCATGACAGCGCTCCAGTCATGCGAGTCATCCCGCCAAGTCTCTGTTATCCCAATTAAATCATATTTCTTGGAGTGGGCCAGCGCCTCCAGTTCTTCCTGTTTGTTGCCCAGGCTTCTCACATTAGTGTACAAACACCTCAGGTAACCAGTTGATCGCCCTACCTTCTTCATTCAAATCAGGGGTCTTCGTTTGTTGCTCGTTCCTCCTTGTGTTTCTTCCTAGTATCTGACTTACCTTAGGGCTTTCTTCACCATCCCCTAATGAACCTAGTTTAAAGCCCTCCTCACTAGATTTGCAAGCCTGCCCGCAAAGATGCTCTTTCTTCTCTTGATTAGGTGGATCCCATCTCTTCCTAACAAACACCTCAGATCACCAGTTGATCGCCCTATCTTCTCCATTTGAATCAGGGGTCCTCCTTTGTTGCTTGCTCCTCTTTGCATTTCTTCCTGGTATCCGACTTTCTCATTCTCCTCAGGGTTTTGGTCACCGTCCCCCGACGAACCTCGTTTAAAGCCCTCTTCACTAGATTTGCAAGCCTGCCCGTGAAGATGCTCCTTCTTCTCTTAGTTAGGTGGATCCCATCCCCCTACCAAGGCTCAAGCAATCAGCAGAGGCTTCTATAATTCAAACTTTAATTAGAAGCCAACAGTTTCCAGCTGCCAATCACAGCACACACTCCATGAAGGGGAGGGGGAGGGCAAAGGGGAAGTAAAAAGAAAAAAAAAGCCTCACTCACAAACACAAGTTCAGCACACAGTAAGAAAGCCCCAATAACAACACACACTTCCCTCGAGAGTCCTGTATCTCCTTCTCCTTTACCTGGAGAACTCCCTCTCTAAACTCCCTGTTAGCACTCACCTGTTCGCAAGATTCTTTTAACAGAAGTTTTTGGAGTGTTGCAGATGTCTAAAACGCTGATCTTAATGATTTTTTTAAAAAAAATTCTGCATTACTAATTAATACATGGTCTATTGTGTTTGCATTAATGCCACATCTTTGCTATCTGGTAGAGTTCTGGCTCTTATGAGTCAGAAGAAGCAAGTACTAGATTTGATGCTAGTTGTTTTGTACAATTAAACCTTATTTGAAAGCTCTATGAAACAAGCATCCACACACACTCTCAATATTGGTGGTGCACTTAAGAAAATTCAACCCCCCCCCACCCGCCAAAAATATTAACCCACTCAAGGATAGAAAATGTTAGAGGGAACACGGACGTACTGTAGCAAATCTTTGTTAATTAAGTTAATAAAATGACAGAAGCCCTGACTAGAAAAAAATATAACCCATGGTTATCAAGAGATCAATAATATTTTTATGACATCCAGAACTGAACAACAAACTATTGTAGTGGAAATAAACAAAAGCCGTCTGTACCTGAAGAATTACACATTCACACCAGGCACTGAGATATTTTTTCAGGACAGAGTTATTTATACCTTTATTTTTAAACCAACTTTCATGCCTTGTTCTGTATAGTAAATTTTATTGTGGTTAGGCCCATTTTTGGGAAGTAAAAATAAGCCAAATAAACCAGTCTGGTTAGATTTCACAAACAGAACACATGCCAAATCATTAAGTGTTATATTTATTGTGTACAGAATTGGGATGACTCCACAAACTGCAAACAGAAGACCAGAAACCCTGACTGACTAGGCTTTTACACTGAAGTTTACATATTACTTGTTCAAACAAGATATTTATTTACTGATTTCTATATAAACATCACCCATCACCTGAGCATGTCCACATGAAATTCACAAAATGCTGTTCCAAAGAGTCTCAAACTTTCATATTCTGCCCATTAAATAGTACACAGCTTATCTTAGCACATCTGATGTTGTTCCTAGAAGTTTGCCAACCAATTGAGGCCAAATGTCTACACTGCAATTTTATAGCCCTGTAAGCCTGATCCTGAGTTAGATGACCTGGACAAGACAAAGGTTAAGCAGTGTAGATATACCCTGATGAATCTTCATAAAGAACACACCCCAGAGACTTAAACCTTACACTGAGAACCTTGCCACCATTCCTTAAGATCTCAATTCCAAAATCAGTATGAACAAATGTTTCTATAGAATGCAGCTACATCAATGGGATACAGGAAGGGGCAGGTTTGAAGACAATTAGGTGCCAGATCTTGCATAACTTCAATGATTTCACACAACATCAGTGTATTTATAACCAAACCAGAACCTAATGCATGTAACAGTGACTGAGTCAACTGATACTGACCTAGTTGTAGGGCTAGACCAATCAAGCTCATCACCTAATAAACCATCTTGTTAGTCTTTAAAGTACTGCATGGTCCTGTCTTTTGTTTCAGCCTTTTGTAGTTTGAGTCATGTTTAAAAACTATTGCCATGAAAAGCTGACTTTTAATGGCATCTCTGAGTGTCAGACGAAAACTAAATATTGAATCTAAATATTGTAATACAGAATGGAGTCTGACAGATAACTGCATGACGTGGTGCAATGTTTTCAAATTTTCCTAGAAGCAAGTGGCATTGCACTGCAGAAGCGGCCCTAGACAAGCTGCCGGCAACTGGCGCCCTAGGCGAAACACGTAATCGGTACGTGATCGGCGCTCCCGCCTCCAAAGCCCTCAACAGCCATTTTTCTTGGCACCCTAGGTGATCGCCTAGGTTGCCTGTATTGATGGGCCACTACTGTTGCACTGAGATCATATAAATCCTCTGTGCTGCTATATTTAAGTAGCCCAGAGACACTCGATATCTACAGTATCATAGTTTATAGTGAGGGCACGCAGATGACTGCAAACTGGTAGACAAACTTTTTTTTTTTTAAATCACAAATGCTCTGATTCCTGTAATACTATAATTTGGGAAAGATGCACTTTATTTACAAGAAAACACCTGTGATGGAAGCCTTTGGACATTTCTATACATCTACATAATAAATCTGAAGGCTAGTATACAAATTATATAAATGGTATAAATCTTTTCAATGTCAAATCAATTTCTTTCCAGCCTTAGCTGGACTTATTTATCAGTTTTATCAAGCAATTCCTCTGATTTTAAAAATCAATCATATTAAGGTGAGTCAGAGCGTTTACACACAAACTTGCACCAAACTAGCTAAATCGGTTTTAATACATACTTTCTGCTACTTCTGTAAAGTCTGTGTATGCACATTATTTTAGTCTTTGGTCTCTGGGTTTTAGTCCTGCTTGGGGTATTGCCCTGTGTTAGCAAACCACTCTCCTCCCTGCCACCTGCAGAGCTCCCCTGCCATCAATGCCTCCCTCCCCACCCACAGGTATGTAATTAACATGTTAAAATATTAACGTGTTTAATTTTGTTTTCAGTTAATCACAAGTGTTAACTGGGAGTAATTGACAACCCTATAAAAATCTATTTCATAATATACACTGGAGAGGAGTACAATATAACTGCAGCAACTGTATACAATTGACAGACTTATATCTAAGCTTGCCAAGTAGCCCTTAGGAGACAAAGCTACACTGGATAGTAATAAGAAGAGCATGTTTTACTTAGAGGACTTAAAGAATGGAATGTCACTGTTCTTATAGCACATAACTACTACATTACTAAAAGAAAATCTTTTGGGGTTAGAGCCTGCAATTGCATCTGTCCAGGTACATCTACGTGGAATCTGACTTAAATAGGTGCTAGATGACTTCAGATCTAGTCTTACCTTGAAGGTAGTGAGAGTTTTGTGTTAGGAAAGATTGCAGGATTTAACCCACCACTCACGATAAATGGTTCATGTGAGTGTCAATTAATGCAAAAGTTTAGCATTGCAATATTCTTGGTTTTTTTCTTAGCTTCAGGACATTTTGGGATGAATCAATGTGAACAGCTTATTCAATTTTTTCATTTTAGAAAAACCAAGCTTGCTGCCTTTATAGTATCATCATAGTTAGAATTTTCCATGCTGTGCATTAAATAAGCATGCAGTCTAAATGTAAAAAGAAAGGGGGAGGGACTAGTTATTTTTCCACAATCTTTTATCTCACTAGATAAGTAAGGGCCACAAATGCTTTTAAGGTCCAGCTGTAAAATATAACAAGGCTACAAATAGCTGCAATTACAAGCTACTTCTTTGTCATAGCTCTTTTTTTGAATAGCTTACCTTTTAGATTTTCATTGCTTGATTTAATGGCTTGATTTGTTCAAGTTGCTTTCTTTACAGCCTATTCACCTTGGACTTCTTTTGTACCTGGTGATATAAATACTTTTGGCTGAAGGTAGAGGTGAAGTACTGTTATGCAAGTTTGCAAAGTTAGCCTCTGACAATCATTTGGCCTAAGTAGTAAGCTATATTTTATAGCCATTCCTCCCTGAGAACTCTGTATGGGCATTTATTTGTCTTTGCTTGGTTACTTTTTTTCACTCAGTTCCGACTAACACTTATAGATTAATTTAGCTGTGTTGCTCAAGGGCATGAGAAATTCAACCCTCCTACGTGCCATAGTTAAGCCAACCTAACACCTTTGGTAGATGCGGCTAAACTGAGGGAAGAATTCTTGTGTTAGCCTAGCTACTGCCACTTAGGGAGAGATGTATTACCTACATCAATGGAAAAATCCCTTCCACTTATGTAAGAAACATCTACATTATGATACAGCAATGTAGCTGCAGCTGTGCCCACTGCAATGTAGATATGCTCTAACAGTGGTCTTACCTTGGCTTAGTTTCTTCTTTAAATATGTTCACTTGTTCTAAAACTTTGTGTAGCTTCTCTCTCCTATAACAATAGCCTTCTCTCCATTACAAATTTAAAAATTAATCAGCAGTCTGTTAACAATACAACTTATTGTAGTATCATTTTTCCCTTTCCTCTCTATTTCTTTGGTTTCTTTTGTCTCACGTTGTCTTGTTGAGCTCATATTTTACATTTATTTATATAAAGTGCACTGTGTACACTAGGGATGTTAAATATTGGTTAACTGAATAGTCCCCGGGGGCAGGGCCTGCAGCTCGTGTGCTCTGGCCCCACTCCCAAGGAGCCCCCTGCCAGCCTGTGCTGCTGCTTCTGTATCAAAGTGCAAGGTGTCAGGCAGGAGCTGATCCGTGAAGGGAGCCAGTTTAAAAAACAGCTCCCCTTGCAGACTGGCTGCCTGTTGCTCTGTGCTACTGTCTCTGATACAGAGGTAGTGACGGAGTGGCAGCAACCCGTTTGGAGGCGGTCTGAGCTCTCAGCCCTGGGGCAAGCTGGAACTGAGCCAAGCTGCCTGTCCGCCTAGTTCCTAATACACTTTAAATGCAGAGCTGCCATGGGAGTAGGTCCTGGACCCAGCATGAGCCAGAACTGAGACAGTGTGCTGGCCAGCCAGCTAAAAATGTAGTGGCAAGGGGGAAATGTGTGCAGTCTATAGCATTAACTTATAAGCTTTTGCTTATCGATTAATTGGTTAATCAACTACACTATTACATCCCTAGTGTACACTCTGCCAGATTTTGTGATTGGATAAATATATATCTCCTATTAAGGCCTTGAGAGTTGAAAATGTGAATCTGAGGGCAGAACTAGACACAAGATTTAATATAACTTAACAGAAAAACTACAGTAATTCCTCATTTAACACTATAGATATGTTTCAGAAAATGATCATGTTAAGTGAAAACATGTTATGTGGGGTCAATTTTCCCATTGAAAATAATGGAAAAGGTGGGGGTTGCGTTTCAAGCCGTGGTTTCTGTTAGGACCAAGACATAAGGTTGGGGGAGAAAGGGGACTGGGTTATAGCAGGGAGGGGATTATTGGGAACTAGTGGTTCTGTGCAGTCACAGCTACAGGCCACCTGTAGAAACGTGGATGTTTTACAAGTGAGCAAAGAGTAGGGTTGCCAGGTGGCTTCAACAAAAATACTGGACACACTTGACATTACATCACAATCGACATTACATCTTATTTAGAAAATACCAGACATTTTCTCAATTTGATTCCTGAATAGAAATATAACTGTCTGGTATTTTCTAAATAAGATGTAATGTCGATTGTGATGTAATGTCAAGCGTGTCCAGTATTTTTGTTGAAGCCACCTGGCAACCCTACTCTTTGCTCACTTGTAAAAGACCCATGTTTCTACAGGTGGCCTGTAGCTGTGAAAGCACAGGCCCACTAGCTCCCAATAATCCAGGCAGGAACACAGCTAGTGCCTGTGGCAGGCATGGAAGCGGAGCAGCTCCATGCAATCAGGTAGGCTTACCAAGGGGGCAATGAAAGACACAGAGCCTGCTGTAAAGGCACCAGGGTGGTTTCTGGTCCGTGCATCTGGAGCAGCAGAGTTTAAAACCGAGGAGCCAGGCAATAGGGGCAGCATGGGGCGGGGTCACCGCAGCGCTGCATCGTGCTCCGTAGGTTGGGGGGTTTCCTGCCTGCCGCTGCTCTGCGGGCTGGGTGCGAGCAGGCACATCCGCGAGCAGGTCAGCACAGGGGAGCCAGCA